AAACCTCGGCCTGGACAACCGTCACGCAATTTGTTGTGTACCTGTTTTTCGGGCCAACCGTCGCCGTCGTGAGTCGATATCCTCATGGTATCTTTCTTCCGCTGCCGAACGGCAGCGCGTCGAAACATCACTCGACAAGCAACCGCCCTCAAGCATCAACGAACATTAGTCACGTCTTGTTTCAAGCCGAGGGTGGAGATGCTTCTTGCAATCTCGAGGCCGAGAGGACACGTTGACAGGGCTGGCTGCCAGGAGCAAAACGGATGCATATTCGCACCGTGAGTGTGCCATCGAAACGAGCACAAATGACCAACATTGCGGAGCGTCGGAAACTACTGCAAAAGCTATTCTTTCGACAATTCCTCCCCGATCGAGCGATCGGCTTGCGTAGGCTTCGGTCGGGCGTATCCTCCTACAGACGGATTTTGGAAGAACCGTAAAAATAGCCAAGACATGTTCAAACATATTCGAAAACTCGTCGAAACATCGTCCCCAGCTTTTTATCTTTTACTATTGTTTATGTGTTCCCTCCTGTAGAAGGGGATATGCCCGATTTCAGCATAGGCTGTCCCTGAGACGTCGACATCCCCCGCCCCGTCCAAATACGAAGCAGCATGGGCGCCGGCCGCAAATGCACGGCTCGAGAACATCGCGCAGCCAGGCCGCTCCGTACACAAAACGTGCGAGGGCCTTGGATGCACGATAAGGATGCAAGGGCCTTGGAAGGCCATCGCGAAGCTCTTCGAACGGGGCGCGGCCAGCGAAAGCGGCCGAGGATGGACCGAAAAGAGAAAGATGCAAGGGTACTTCTGGAAAGGTCGCCCATCCTCACTATGCGGGTCGACTGTACCGGCGTCCTGTCAGGCAAGATCGCGATCGAATGAGGGAATGCGCGCGGGCAAGTGAGTTGCGCAAACCACATCGGACAGCAGAAACGCCGCCCTCATACTAGTGGAAGCCGAGTAGTAAACACACCCAACCAAGGACTCGAACATAGCAAGGCTGTTTTGAACGAGCCCACGGCTGTTTATCAAACGCGAAGTATGGGGGATCGGGGTGTCTGTCCCTCCCTCGACACCAACTGACAGCAATACCTCGGAAGGGTTGCGAGGGCGTTGTGGGACCCTCCCAGACAAACCAGCATGGCATCTACCTCGGACATCAGCCGCTCGCGACTCGCCGTAAAGGACGATGGATACCATGAAATAGCCACAACTGCATGACAATAAAATGCCGTGTCCCCGCCTGGCGCCGCCCCTGGCGTCATTCGCAAACCTGGAAAAGACGCCCACCACCGATCCACAAAGTCCGCGCGAGCCTCCGAACGTTTATGCGCACGTATGCCGTTACATATATATATATAATTATGTTTGTATAGATACATACATACATACATACCTGTATATATGTATATATAGGAAGATACACATCCATACAAGTATGTGTATATATAAATGTATGTGTATAAATATGTATATCAGAGTGAGGGGCCGAACAGTCCTTCATTGTCCCTGGGTGCGTGGCTGACGTGAGAACCCATGGTGCGGATTATGCTTGTTGTGTTGTTTTTGTTGTTTTTGTGTTTGTGTTTTTTTTTGTTTTGTTGTTGTTGTTGTTGTAATTGTTTTTGTTGTTTGCTGTCGTCGTCCCCCCCGCGACCCCCCCGCGACCCACCCCGCGACCCACCCCGCGACCCACCCCGCGACCCACCGCGTTACCCACCCCGCGACCCGCCCCGCGACACGCCCTCGACCCAACCCGCGACCCACCCGCGACCCACCCCGTGACCCACCCGCGACCCACCCGCGACACGCCCGCGACCCACCCCGCGGCCCAGCCGCGACCCACCCCGCAACCCATCCGCGACCCACCCAGGACCCATTTGCGACCCACTTGCGACCCACCCCGCGACCCACCCGTGACCGATCCACATTGGTTTGAAGAAAGCGTCGGCGCCTGCGGTGGGCTCATTGCATAATGTGTCAAACTTTGGCGCCTGCAGCGGGCTTCTCCAGAGTCTCGCAGACTGCCGACGTCCCCACCGCCCCCTTACTCTCATCCGCATCTGCGGGGTGCCGCGCAAATATTCTCAGGCAAGAAGGCGGAGAGAAGGAGGGGGAGGACATGTTGGGACCAGGACGACGCGCCGAAGGGCGGCGCAAGAGGAGGAGGGGGAGGATGAGGCCGAGGAGGAAGAGCAGGAGAAGGATGACGATGAGGAGGAGGGCGAAGAGCAGGAAGAGACGAGCGTAGAGGAAGTCCCCGGTCTTCAGCTCATCAGGCCGCCCCTCCCGCGGGGGCGGCGGCAATCGGGCGCCCTCCCTCCTCGGACACGGCCCCGGAGACGTCGACATCGGAGGACGTGACAACTATTTCATTCATTGGGGAGCGGCGCGGCCGCAGGGGGAGAAGCGAGAGAGGCGCACGCAGAGGCAGCAGCAGGAATCGCGAGGGAAGGGCGGGGGGGGGGGAGCGTGGAGGCCAGATGAGATCGGCGCCTCCCACGATCAACCCAGACAAATTGCGCGTCAGGGGCACTCGGGCCAGCGGGCAGGGGCAGGCGCCGATGACTGGGTGGGGGGAGTGCGTGGACAGAGGTGGCAGCTGGGAGCGAATCGCCAGCAGCACACGGCGGCGTCGGCGCCGCGGTCGGGAGGGAGGCCGTTCTCTGGGAACTCGCGGGCAACGAGCTCGAGCAGGCCAGCGTCGCCGGCGGAGGCGAGGGGGCCGACCCGCGGCACTCGCTCGAGGGAGACGCCATGCTGCCCCCATCCTTGCCCGCGTCTTGCGATCGGATGTCAGCTGGGCTCCCAGCGCAGCTGGGTGTCGGCGCGGAGGAAGGGGTGCAGCTGATCTCAGCAGCTGCGCGGTCATCACGGGCGGCGGGGTCCACTCCTGGATCAAGGTGGATGGCCCAGCAAGTCTCAACGAGCGAACGGCCCTTCGCGTCAGAGACAGCAGCGCGCGAGGCGGGACGACGCCATCTTTTTCCATGGCAGGGTTGTACGTCTGGCATGCAGCATGCGCATCTTCAAACCTCTCGGGCCGCACGTCCACCAGCCCGAGCCTCGTCGTCAGAAACTGAAGGAAGGGGCGACGCCAGGCAGAGTTCATAGCTCTCATAAGCTCCGGGCAGGAGAGGCAATGCGAGGGGCCATCGGGCCGTGGGCATCCGAATATACAACAGAGACGCCCATGAGGGTGAGCACTCCGATGCGAAGACAGCCAAACATTGCTCCATGTCCGAACGGTCGCCATCGCCCAACTCTGAGGCTGTAACTGAAGAAGCGCTCGAATGCTATCCCAGCATGCTTGATCCAGAAATGGAACGTAATTCCACGACGTGCGTGATAGGTATCGGCGGACATCCATCTCCAGCGATCGCTCACCAACAAAACGTTGGTCTATCTCCGGAGCTGCCGCGCGCTGAGGGTGAGGGCGACGGACGCTACGCAGCATGTCTTAGTGCATAGCCAGCTTCGCTGTTGCCAGCCGACCGTCATCTTAATGATGCAGAACAATATCCACATTCTCGACAAAGGCGGGTGCTGCCCAGTAGCTCGGGCACAGTCGTGCACGACCGATCGCAGCAAGTGGCGCATCATCGTACTGCCCCTCAGTAGCGTTGCTGCGTCATCTCGCAGCACGAGCATGCGCAGTGGAGAGATTGTCCGCGAAATCGCTATATGCGACGGCAGCTGAAAGGAGAAGAGCAGCAGAAGCCTGGACAGCCCAGGAGGGCAACAGTGGACCGCCCCACCTCTTGACCTCAGGAATCGACTGCGGCACTTGCGAGACAACCCCGCGCTCGAAGTTGAGAAACGAGACAGGCATAGGCACGCATTGGGCAACGCATGCTAAAAAGGACAGAGTGAACACGCGTACGGCACAGCATCCCAGTGGCGCAGGTCGCAGCGGCACCACGACCCAACGCGCGCGCCCGAGCGCGAACTTTGGGTAGGGGTTCTCGACAACATCGTTCCACAATCGCACTGTGTCCAAGCCAACGGCCTAGGCGCAGCGTGCAAACCTCGACCGCGACCCCCTCCCACGCAGGAATATGTTGGTCCGGGAGGTCCCCGGTTTCCAGGATAAGCTCCCCCTGGCCCAAAGAGGGGGGCCATCGTGCATTTTGCCGATCTTGATTCTGAGGCCAGCGGTCCGTTCCATCGCGCGAATGACTCGGGCAACAATGTGGATGAACGGAATATCAAATATCGTAATTCCGAGGTCGTCGGCGCACGCGCGACCGAGTCCGTCGCCTACATCTTCAAGATTGGCATCCAGATTCTTCAACATGGGGGCAGAGGCGGCGAGCGCGTAGAGAGAGCCCGAGAGGCACAACCCAGGATGATGCCAAATCGCACCCAAAATACAGCGCGCAGCTCCCCCCCCCCCCCCGCCGGCAACCGCCCCCTCCGCTGCGTCATGCATCCCAGGGACAAAGGAGAGAAGTGCCTCCTGGATGCCAAGGGGGCCCAGGTGCGACGGGAGGAAGGTTTTTTTTCACTGGCTACATCTCCGCACGACACTGCTGCAGCGCGAGCGCGCGGAGGCTTAGACGAGGAAGCTCAGCATCCCGAAGTTCTTGCACATGAGGCCGACCCGCACGGCCCACACGATACCGGCACACATCCGCGACGGACAGCACCGAATTGATGATGTAGCACTCTAGCTCGCACTCTCCCCCTTCTCATGAGCAACGGCGGCCTCGAACAAATCCACCAGCTCAGCCACGTCGAAATCCCCTTTCTCGGCCAGCGCCGCGTAAGCCCCGCGCAAGGGCTTCGAGGCCTGCTTCCACGACAAGCGGAACCGCGCCTCCACCTGCCTCCACTGCCGTACGGAGAGCTTCGACATACCCTTGAGGACGGCAACAACGCCCTTCAGCTGCAAACGGTCGTCGAGAGAAGACGACGCCGTACACGAAAAACTCGCAGGAGGAACAATGCTCGAAGCACACGAACTCTCTGCGGCGAAACTCTTGGGTTCGTACTCGCTGGAGTTGGCCACACCACCAGCGTCAGGATAAAGTTTAGCAACTTCTTGATGTAGATACTGAAGCGGATCGCCGCGATCGTCTCCGAGAAGCTGTCGCACTTCGCCTCCTCCTCCGTCGGGATGCAGGTCACCAGCAGCATGAAGAATGTCAGCTGCAGGAACTTTGGATTCTGGAAGCTCATGTTCTTGCTCCTCACGCTCGCCTTGATCCCCAGCGGCTTCTTGAGGAAACATGTGAGCGCCGTCCGACTGCTTACCCTCCAGGCCGTTCTCCACAAAGAGCTCGAAAGGTTCGCCGTCATCGCAGCACTCGTGCTTGGAAAGGCACAGAGAGGCACGGTCATCAACAGCACCTGGTCCTCCCTGCACACCTCGGGCACTAAGATCGTAGAACTCGGTTAGTCCGCCGCCCTGGCCTCCAGCTCGTAAACCCCCGCGGTCCTGCCCTTCACGCTGCTCTTTCGCTCCTTCTTCTCCTTTTTCTCCTTCTTGTCCTTCACGAACTTCTTGTCCTTGGTACTGCGCTTGCCGTGCTTCGCCCGCTCCTTGGGGAAAAGGCTGTGCTCCACCTCCGCGGTCGTGGGCGCCAATGCCAAGGTCGCGAAACTGCAGTACTGGCACCGCAGGTACTGGTACGAGACTGACGTATGAGGACCCAGTAGCACCTGGCCCATGGTGTCCGTTGGGGGACCAGGAACTGCCCACTTCACCGCCCACGTAGCAGGCGGCTGGTGTAGAGGTCGAAGGTCTCCAGGTGGAGGCTCCAACATTCCCGATGTCCCTGACGGCGCACGTGAGGTTGACCTCGAGTCCAGCAGGAACTGAGACCCCGATTCGCGCGACAGCGGGGGGACCGCCATGGCTGCCAGGCACGCAGGAGCGATGAGCCAGCGAAGGCCCGAAAAGTTCGAGCCCCAAGCTCCTGGACCTGACCAGGAGTGAAATGCTGCCTTGAGCCAGGGGCTTGAGCCAGACGGGAGGAAGGACTGGGACAGGCTCGCGAAGGCTCGGCCGCAGTCGAAGCCAATCATGATGGGGGCCTTCTTCTTGGAGAGAGTGTGCTGGAAGACAGTTCTCTGCACCAGGACCACGCGCCCGAAGTTCCCTGCAGTGATAAAGCCTCTCTGGGAGGCAGGGGCGACGCGATCAACCGCTGGCTCCAAGGGGGAATTCGCGACCGAGCTCAAGATCTTCACGTCAATGTTTCGGAAGCCAACGACCCGCGCGCGGTCGGGGGATCTCTGACACGAACCGCCACCGGAGTCCGCCACCTCGGAGCCCTTGGGGGGAAGGCCTGCAACGCGACGCTGGCCGCGTCGAACGAGACTTGGCTTTGGCGCGGCCATTCGAACATCGCCGCCAACAGGTGCGCGCTAAGCTCGACGGCGCCCCAGGCCACATGCGGGAGCCCGTCGATCCAGGGCCTTGAGGAAGAAGGCATCGCGCGTCTCTCTCCCTCGTGGCCTTCATCATCATGCCCTTGAAATGCTCGCTGGCGATAGGCGGGCCCCGCCGTGATAGGTCCCCGTCGCCGTCGCGTAGCGTGCCCTGAGGCCTCCGCTTGAAGATAGCATCCAAAAATATGAGCCGACGGATCGGTCTCTCGCGCGGCGGACTCGACGCGCGCCAACGGAGGGCAACCGCGTCGCCCGCGTGGCCCGAGACCATCTTGGACGCCAGGAGCTCGGGCGACTCGATGAGCCCAGCCGCTGGCTGAGCAAAAGAACCGATCGATGCTGCTGACCGGGTTCGCGCGGCTGCAGACACGGGTCGGACCGTCCGAGCGCGCCTCCCACGCGCCGCCAAGCACGCGTGACCATGCAGGGGCATGCACCTCGCGACGATGCAAGGCATGGGCGCTCGCTGTTTCAAGGCGATGGGGCGCTCGCGAGGCGTCGAGGCCGCAATTGAAGCCGCCCATGCCAACAACAGAAAAAAAAACAAGGGATGCGCGCGGGCATGGGCGCCGCGAAGCCTCTCGCATACGAACAGAACCTCCTGCTGGGACAGACCGCGGCTGTGAACATTGAAGACCGCGAGCTGCGCGCCGCCGAGTAAGACATCGACGCGGAGCACGCGTCCAGGCACCGGCGCCTGCGAGCTGGTCGAGGCAGCCCCCGATGAGAGGGAGGAAAGGACGATGGCAAGGCCACCGGCGCCGCGACGGCGCGGTTCGCTGGTCGAGACCCTGCGTCTGTCCTGCGACCTGCTTCCTGGAGGTATCCATGTGTCGGAAGGATCGGTTCGCTGGTGTCACGCACCGATGTGGCAACGGCGGACTTGACCCTACTGCCGAGAGAGATCGCTCTGTGATATCAACGTGGTAGACGCGCTTCGTGAACTCCGAGTCGTGCCCATCATCGCTGCCCATGTGTACGACAGATGACACACCATCAGCACGAGCGGGGCCCGGAGAGACGCGGCGACGCGCGGCCGCCTCCGTCCACGGTGCCTCGTCCCGCCGCGAGAGTCCGAAAGCGGCGTGTAGGAGCGGCTGCCGTCGGAGGACATGACGCTGGCGGGAGAACGGGCGGGAAAAACCTCGGATTACCTTCCGCCGGCAGCACACGCTGGTGAGACAAGATCCAGACCTGGGAGAGCAGGCCGAAAAGGGCGGTGGTCTGGCCGCGGATTAGCGGTGGCCGTGTGGTCCCACGGGGAAGCTTGTATCTGGAGCCAACATGGATACGGACGAGGAGAAGGAGGAGGAAGAGGAGAGGGACGAGCAGGAGGCGGAGGAGGAGGAGGACGAGGACAAGTGGGAGGAGGAGCTGCAGGAGGGGGGGGGAAGCTGGGGATCCAAGCCTTTTTCGCTTCGTCCTCCTCGCAGGACACCCCACCGCAGACGACGCTGTGGACGATGCAGGGGTCGTCGCCACGGCCGGCGCCACGGCAGCCGCCTCCAGCGGGCAGCCAGAAGGAACAAAGGCAGTCAGAACATCGATAAACCAAATCCTCCTGAAAAATGCCTCGACGTCGTCGTCCTTCTCCTCCTCCTCCTCCTCCTCCTCCTCCTCCTCCTCCTCCTCCTTGTCGCCGACGTGATCGTGCTGTCCCTGACCTTCTCAGGGGTCGGCTGGCTGGCGCAGGCGTCTTGAATCAGCAATCTCGGCGGTGGACAAACCTCCCTTTAGTAAACGTCCCCTTAGTGAAAACGGCTTGGGACCGAAACCGCCGGACATGGATCCGCCAAAATGACGGCCGCGACGCCCTCTCGCGAACCGAAAACGGCCAATTCGCTAATCGACGTGTCAGGGTAGGATGTCTGTCCACCCCCGACCCTTTGGGGTCAACAGACACGTCTCCGGCCGCTGCCCCCCGCCGGCCGACCACCTCACCGATCCGGGCCGGGCCCATCCTGGCTCCAGGGCGGGAGGGCCCAGAATCGAAGCGACGAGTCGGCTCGGCGATCAAAATGGATCGGACCTGAGGAAGTCGGGGGGCCACCTGCGAACCCTGCCCCTACCCCCCACGATTTCCGAGGGGGAGGGGGAGGGTTTGCAGGTGGCCCCCCAAAAGTCGGCAGCCAAGTCGGGAGAAGTCGAATCGGCAGAGCTCGGCACGCCAGAGTGCCTCCAGGAAGGAATCGGGATCCAGATCGGGATCCGAAGACGAATCGAAGCGGAATCGGAAGCCATCGAAGTCGAATCGACTCGAATCCGAGGCATCGAAAAGAGCCCTGCAGGGGTCGGTGCATATGCGCTCCCTGGCGTGGCCCGGGAAACGGATGCACACTTGGCCATCGCTCGGACGTCCATTCCATGTGTTTTTTTTCGGTTCCGTGCGTGGCTTTTTCGCCAAATGATCAAGGATGCTCCTCGATGGTCTTCGCCGACGGAAAAATGCACACGTCCGAGCGATGCCAAGGCACTGGCCCTGGAAGCAGGCTGTGCCTGGCCAGGAGACGGCACATCTGCCTACTTCTCACTCGCCCGTGCGGTGGACGGGTGCCTGGAAGTTGCACGGAAAGTGCCCCAAGCTACAGCTTTCTCCCCCCCCCCGCTCATGCCCCCCCTACAATCGAGGCGTTGACCTAAGGAACCCTAAATAAGGAACGAGGCCCCTTTTTCCCATAAGTTCAACCTCGATTTCCTATGGAAACCCTCAGGAAAACCCGAGGCAAACTTTGAAACAATCAAGGAACACCGAGCCCCTCCCCAGCGAAAAGGGTTCCTTCTTCAGCGCCCCGACTGTATTATCGTCGTCGGCGTCGTCGTCGTTCAGGGTCGGCGGCACCAGCCGCAGGCCTCCCCAAGACAGCTGTCTACCCCCCGCTCATGTCCCCCCCTATGCCTTCTGCGGGCGGCCCCGGTCGCAGGGAGCCTCGAGAGACAGCGGGGTGACCTCGGCACCCCCCAAAATGGGGCCCTCGACGACGGTTGGACCGATACTGCAAGGCATCAGACAGGTTACTCGAGAGACATCGGGGTGACCTCGGCAACCCCCAAAGTGGGGCTCTCGACGACGGTTGGACCGATACTGCAAGGCATCAGACAGGTTACATCCGCATCCTCCCTTCGGTAGAACAGCATTTCAGAAAGCCGCAGAATCACAAACGTCGGAGATCCGCGTGGAATTCTCTGGTCGGCGCTGGACCCCTCCTCCCCTGTAGCGCTTCGCCGCCGCTTGGGGGGCCCAGCGCCTTTCTAAGCAAGCCATGCGGGCCTCCGGAAGTATACGCTTAGGAGGGGCCGACAGGATGACCCTCCTCCTCCTCGCCGTTCTCCTCTCCCCCCCCCCCTCCTCCTCCCCGTCCTCGTGCCCTCGTGCTCCTCGTGGTCCTCATCCTGTGTTTATGTTATGTGCTGTTTCCCGATTTTGGGCTGGGAGTGTCGTAGAGCCTTGACGCTCAATTATCTGTTCGTGCCGATCCTCCAGCAACCTCCCCCTTCCTCTCCATCAACCATTCCTACCTCCCGGCCTTGCCCTTGTCGTTGTCCTCCTCCTCCTCCTCCTCCTCCTCCTCCTCCTCCTCCTCCTCCTCCTCCCTGACAGCTGACGCTGCGAACAACTACAGCATCGCCAAACATTACGACTGGAGCCCTCAGCTAGAGACCTAATCTTTCTGAGTTAATTTCTAGCCAAGCCAGATTAATGTGTGATGGCCCCAGGAACCGGAGCTGGGCAAACATAGTCATCGTGAAAAAAACACCGCCGTGCCGATGCCGCTACTCCGCGGACCTCTCGAAGGGTGCGTTCTGACCGGAACCTCGCGAAGAGTTCAGCCGCGGCGACGACCTTTCTCCAGGACGAGCAGCGGCTTCGGCACCTCGTATCTTCTTCTCCTCCTCCTCCTCCTCCTCCTCCTCCTCCTCCTCCTCCTCCTCCTCCTCCTCCTCCTCTTCGTCCTCCTCCTCCTGGGGGCCTCTTCTCAATTGGAAGTCGCATTCAGTTGGTGGGACAGAAAGTCGACACCGACGCCAAGAAAGTTACCGGTCTCATAAAACATTGACTTGCGATTTGGGCCAGCTTGGGCCCGTCCTGGCCTCTGGAATCGCGGGGGTTTGGGGAGGGGGGGAAGTGAAGCATCGCGCAGCGCGCCGGAGGGAGGGCAGGAAACAAAAAGTGCCGACGAACGGCGAAGTAGGCGGGCGTTCTGGGGAGAGGGGGGACCAGAGGGAAAGATGCGGCTTCCTCCATGACCCGAGCCTCCCGCTCCACCTCCGCCGTCCTCCGCGCCTCCCCCCACCCGTTTGGCCCCCCTCCCTGCCTCTCCCCCCTCCTCCCTCTGCCTCTTTCCCCCCTCCCTGCCTCTCCCCCCTCCTCCCACCCGCCCCCTGCCCGCCTCCAGTCGCATCCCTGACAGCTCTGCAGGCCCGAGGCCGGCACCCGACGACTCCGACTCCACCGCCCATACCCCCCGCGCCTGGAGGCCGGGGCTGCCCTTCGCGGCCAGGGCCCGAGAACGTGGCACCCTGCTAGCCCCGGCCCACAGGCCCTGGCCAACTTCCGAAGTCGTCGAGAGGCTCCGCTCCACTCGCCGTTCCAACGGGGGCCTTGGTGCTCGTGTCGGCTTTCCAGTGTTGCCGGGGACGACAAGCCGGCACCGGCACCACGACCCCGCTGGAAAAAGTGGGGATCCTTTCCCTGCGGGGGCAGGGCGGCCCAGCGGAGCCCGCAAAACGTGAGGTGGCTCGCAATGCTCGCCGAATTCACAGGCCATGGGGCTCGCATGCAAAAACGCCCCATGAGGACCATACGTAGCGACCCCATGGCCCGTGGGACTGGCATGGTCCGCGGGGTTCGCAACGTCCAGAAACCCGACGCGGTCCTGACGACTCAAGGGGCCTATGGGGAACGCGCGGCTCGCCAGGCTCGCGCGGCGCATTGACCCCATGCGCGCTGCGGCGCCCAAGTGGCCAAGGAAACCTGTCTGGGACTTGTGGGTCTCATGGGGCTGGCGAGGTTCGTCCGGCCCACGGGCCGCGCGCGGCCCATGGAAATCCTAGAGAAGTTCACTGGAGGAACTAGAAAAGGCCCGCTTTGCTCCCACGCGCGCAAAGCTGACATTCATCGACGCGGGACACGTGAGCCCGAAGACACGGGCGACGGCATTCAGCAGAGGCTCTGAAATTTTCTTTTCAAGAAGGAATCTTGGTGTCGGTGTCGGGTTCTGTTGCCCCGATCAGCAGCCCCTCATCTAATTTGTAGTTCTGTCGCGTAGCTCAGTCCGCGAGGTTCTTGCTTTGCTTTCCTCCTCCTCCTCCTCCTCCTCCTCCTCCTCCTCCTCCTCCTCCTCGTAGCCAAGCCCCCGACGTCATGATTTTGCCATAACGCCGACATTCCATTCCCAAAAACCGGCTTCTCATCCTGCGTCGTGTTTGACGGTCCCGAGCCGAGGCAAGGGCCCCGAGAGGCCGAACGTTTACAAAAAAAACTCCACCGTGATTTTGGTCATGACTCGAAGGGGTCTGGTCTGCGTACCAATACCTTCCGCTCATCTGATTCCTGTGCATTTCTGCGGGCAAGATTTGTGTCCATATCCACCGCAGCTTGGAGATCCGGGCTCCCTTCCCCAGGAACCCGAGGCGCACTGAATATGGATGAAGATTCGGCCCCCTCGAGGCTCGGCTTTCACACATACCCAGTGCGCCTCGGCCTTGTGGCGCCCCTTCCAAGAAAGTGCAAGATGCACGGGATACAGTCGGGGCGTTGACCTAAGGAACCCTAAATAAGGAGCGAGGCCCCTTTTTCCCATAAGTTAACCTTCGATTTCATGTCGAAAACATGAGGGAAGCCTGAGGCAAGCTGTGAAACACTTAAGGAACGCGGAGCCCCTCCCAACGAGAAGGGTTCCTTTTTCAGGGCCCCGACTGTATGGACAGACATCTGGCCCACGATTTCTGCACTTCGACCCGGGGCCCTCCCGCGGCCGCCTGCCGCCGCAGCGCGCGCGCCGTCACCCGCAGCGCCCTGCGGTTGCCGTCGGGCACGCCGACGCGGCTGGCGCCGGCGAGGAGCCGGCTCGCTGGGAGCCGCTGTGGTTGCGGCCAGGGACTGTCTCGTCCGCGGCGGGGCTGCACGCACTTTTTTTTGGTTTAATTATCTAAAAAATCCTCAGAGCGCCCCGTGACAAGGGGGGAGGAGAAGGAGGGGGAGGGGGAGGGAGGGGGAGAGGGGGAACGTGCAACTAATCAGTCCGGCGCCCCCGGGCGCGACGCGAGCCGCAGCCGCAGCGCACGCGCCGAGCGGGTGGAAATGAGGGGTGAAGAGGAAGGCCTTTCAGGGCCCCATTCGGGCTCGAGCTGGCTTCAAGAGGGGCCTCTCTGATTTTCTCGGGCGTCGCGGAAGCGTGGAGCGGTCCATGCGGGGGCAGCAGAAAAGTACCTCCTCGGACCGAGAGGCCTCCTTTTTGTCCCTACAGGGCCATTTGTTTCTGCAGCCCTCGCTGCCCCCCCCCCCATTTCTCGCCCCCCTGTTGCGCCACGCCCAACAGGACGGCCTTGTCTGAGATCCAGGCTCTGCAGTCTGTTCGCCCCTGGCACTTTCACCCAGCCTCGGGCCCCAGGACCCTCACAGTCCGATCTGGCTTGGAAGTGCGGCAGAAAGATAAATGCAGGGCTGCCGCCGAGATTTTCCCTCGGGCTATGTGGCCGATCTTGAAAGGTATCAATATTTCGAAATGTTGGCATCTCCTTTACTTCACCTGGCTCTCCCTGGCCTTCCGCCAACTTCCGCCAGCGGAGGCGGCCTCGTTTCACTTCCGGCGCCTTCCGGTCGTTCCCCGAAGGAATAATGACAATCCTGCAAGGACCGATAACGATAATGTTGAAACCGAAACGGCGCTTCAAACGAAAAGCGAAACGAGTAACCATAGTTTTTAAACAAACGTCCAGGACGAACAACGAACAACGAAATGAAGCGTTCACCACAAACATTGAACGAGGAAACGAGACACAAGCGAGAAACGACGCGAAACACGACACAAAGGTCCAAACCAAGCTAAACGGCTTTGCGGCTGGTCCTTGCAAGTCCTTGATCCCTCAAAAGCGAGGCCCTTTCCAGAGCGCCCCTCTCAAGTCACGGGCCTCCCTTATCCCAGGCGAGCCCAGAGTCAAATCGTTAGTTCGTATCGACAAACAAAATGAATCGGATCGGCGGAGGTAACTGAATAGTCGGAAGCCGGCAGGCAAATATAGGCGGTGCGTCCAGGGGGAACTGAGAGAGGGCGGGCCTTCTCGGAAGGTTCGAAAGTTTCCCAGCCTTCTGAAAAGTTTCTGAGCCTTCCCCGAAGACAGAGAAGACCTCTCAGAAGGCGCGAGGGTTTCCGAGACGCCCCGCCGCCTTCTCTGAGAAGGCCTTCTCCCTCTCACGCCCCCGCCTCGCTGTAGCCGCCGACACAACGCGCAGAGCTTGAGCCATCAGAGCCCCGAGCGGCCGCCGAAGTCCCCTCGAGTCGGAACCGAAGCCGTCGAGATCGCATGGAGACGAGCCGGAGGAGGAGCAGGGGGAGGAGGAGTGGGAGGAGGAGGAGGAGGAGGAGGAGGAGAAGGAGAAGGAGGAGGAGGGGTCGAGATGAGCCCTGCGATGCCCCACCGGCATGGAGAGGCTCTGCCTCGGCCGCGGCCTGCCCCCCACGGGTGGCTCCCAGGAAAGGCCCCGGGGCCCGGGCTTGCCCAGCACGGTGCTCCCGCGCCGTGTCGCGGTTGCCTTCCTGCCCTCCTGCTCGGTCTTCGCTCCGCTGCTGCTGCTCTCCGCCTCTCTCCTCCTCTCTCTCCTCTTTCCTGTTCCTCCTGTTCCTCGTGTTCCTCCTCCTCCTCCTCCTCCTCCTCCTCCTCCTCCTCTTCCTCCTCCTCCTCCTCCTCCTCCTCCTCCGAGAGAGAGAGAGAGAGAGAGAAAGAAAGAGAGAGAGAGAACGCGGCCCACGAAATCCCCCCAAGCGCCGGTCGTTGCCATCGCTCGGACGTCCATTCCCCGTGCATGTTGTTCGATTCGTGCGCTGCTGTTTTCGCAAGATTGGCCGAGGTGCTGCTCGATGGTCCTCACCGAGGAAAGATGCACACGTCCGAGCGATGCCCAGGTTCAGGTCGAGCCCTGGCCCAGGTTCTGGTTCTGGGCGGACTCCCGTCGGAGGACGACGACGGCTGCGAGGGACGAGGGGCCACTGCGGCGCAGACCACTACTACGCTCGCCATCGCTCGGGCGGCCATTCCCCGTGCATGGTTCGATTCCGTGCGCGCTCGTCTTCGCAAGATGATCCGAGATGCTCCTCGCTGGTCCTCGCCGAGGGCATGCACACGCCCGAGCGATGCCGAACGGCGACGGCGGCGGCGACGGCCCCCCCGGGCCCCGCAAGCCCTCGAGCACATCGAAAGGCAACAGCAGACATCTTCGAAGGTTTTCGAAATCCACCGGCCCTGTCAGCGTCTGTGGGGTGTCTGTCCGGTTCCGCCGATTGGGAGCCTTCTTTCGTCCCCTCCTTCCCCTCCTCCTCTCCCGTCGGGGGAGAGAGAGAGAGAGAGAGAGAGAGAGAGCACCCTTCCTCGTTCGGGGAACGAGCTCGCAGCTTGAAGGAATTCCATCCACGTCTTCATTACGTCAAAGAGAAGCCTCGTCCTTTTGTCCCTTCCTCTGCGGGGGGGGGTCCCAGGGGGGGGTCATATTCGCATCGCCTCTGGGGGTGCTCCTCCACTCCCACGCCGGTCCTTCTCCGGCGCGCCGGTCCTCCTCGGGTCCTCCTCCCCAGGTGGGGGGAGGGGAGTCAGATACGCATCCGTCCCTCGGGGTCCTCCTCCCCCTCCTCCTCCTCCTCCTCCTCCTCCTCCTCCTCCTCCTCCTCCTCCTCCTCCTCCTCCTCCCCGTCCTGGTCGTCGTCGATGTCTTTCGGGGTCGGCAGCACAGGCCGTCAGGCCTTCCCAATCGAATCCCAAGAGAAGCCGTCGAGCTGCCAATCGAAAGCCGTCGAAGATCGCCGACGGCGGCGGCGCTCCAGGGCGAAGGCTGCGGCGGCGGCGACAGAGGGCAGGAGGGTGCGACGACTTGAAGCAGGAGGGCGAGGCCGCCCAAGAGAGAAAAGCCCCGATGGCTCCTCCTCCTTACTCCTTCTCCTCGAGCTCTTGCCTCCTCCAACTCTTTCTCCCTCCTCCCCCCTCCTCTCTCCTCATCCCTGTCTTCTCTCCTCTCCCTCCTCCTCACTCCTCCCATACGACGCCGTCTTCCTCCTCCTTCTCCTCCTTTTATCCTCGCACTCCTCCTCCACCTCCTCCCCCTCCTTCACCCTCCCTTCTCAGCCCTCATCCTCCATACTATGAGCATGGAGGAAGATGACGAACGAACAACACACACCCATACCCATAGGGGGGTCGTTGGGAGGGGGACTGGCTATGGGTATGGGTGCGGGTTGTCGGACCCTGGGGAACGCTCCCGTTCGAGCGGGGACCCCCCATCCGACAACACGCACCCATAGCCCTCTCCGACCCCCCTATGGATATGGGTGTGTGTTGTTGGTTCGTCAGAAGAGGAGGGGAGTATGGGGCAGCGGGGCAAAGTGGAGGCCGCCCGAGCGGGGTCGGCGTGGGCGGGGCCGAAGGGCTCGGCACCGCCTCGGCGAGACGCGCCGCCCGAGGGGCCTCGCGAGGCGGGCCTCGCGGTGTGCCCGGAGGAGACGGGGGGCGAGACGGGGTGCAGCGGGGCGCTCCGGGAGGGGGCGCTCCGAGACGGGGGGCTCTCGCAGGTCGTGGCCCGGGGCACGTGCGCGGGCGAGGAGGGACCAGGGGGACGCACCGAAGCAGACGAGCGGCCAGGAGAGCTCGGGGGACATCGTGGCCCCCGCCACGAGGACTCGCCCCATGCATCCACCCCCTCTTGGACGCCCCCGATGTTGGTCAAGCTGCTGGCCAGGATTCTCGGCCACGAAGTGTTGAACTGCGCTCGATTGGGCGCAAGCCCCGTCCGAATAACGGCAGGACTCGACTCGAGCCGAGGCCAGCCGCGGTGGCGAGGGGCCCGCTCAGCCCGGACACCCGTGCGCAGTGAAGGTCGGGGCCGCAGCCGCGCTGGCGGACGAGAACGGCCCCTTCCTTGAGATCCGACGTTGCGAAAGATTACACCAACTCGAGAAATCACGACTGGAGCTCGACAGATGCACCCGAGTGCCCTCCGATAAGCCCCTGAGAGGCAGCCCAAGAGACCCCAGGCACTGGCACCCGACCCACAGCCCAGGCACGGTGGCGGCTTGGGCCGAAGACCACCAGATAACTGCCACGATAGTCGCGTGAGCCGCTTGGGTCACGACTGGAGCCATAGACCCAACCATTCTGCGGCATGTTGCGAGCCAGATCTATCTGCGATGGCCCCGGGGCGCAGCAGTGGGCGAAAACGTCAAGCGTGACAAGACTGCAACGCCCGGATCTCAGGGTTCTCCTGATCCCAGGGAACGACGCTTGCGATGCAGACTATCGGGCCCTGCCCTTCACCGCGGGGGTCCCACGGGGGCACGATGAAACCAGCGCGCTCTCGGGCTGCGATGCGCAACTCTCGGCTCTGGCCGCCGAGGCTCGAGTCTGGAAGTCTTTCCACACGTCCTGGAGCCGCGCAGGGAAAGATGCTGCGCACTCGCAGCCTGAGAGCTGTTTGGTTTCATCGTGCGGCCCCAATCTGTGACGCGCAGCTTTCGGCTGCAGCCGCCAGGCCTCAACTCTCGACGTTTTTCCAAATGTTCTAGAGTCATGAAGGGTAACATGTTGCGCACTCGCAGCCTGAGAATTCTTTGGGTTCATCCTGCGGCACCTGTCCCTTTGACCCCGGTGGCTTCCTCCCTGGACTCAGCGCAGGACAGCAGAGTCTGAATATATGCTTACCTTTCGCGCCGCATGATGTTCAAGCTGGTCCTCTGGGCATCTCTGGAGAACCCAGGACAATCCCCGACTGATGTTGTAGTCAAGAAATTGTGGCACCGACCCCTTTGTTGGCCCCTCCAAGCCAAAGTCACAAGCTGAACTTCAAATCGACAAATGGAGGGCGAGTTTGCTACAGCTTGTAGGCACACGTGCACGGACGCGCAACAAATACAAATGCCGCGCCGACTCCACATCTTACCTTGGAAAAGAAAATACATATCCAGAAGGACGGCTAGATAAGACTGGAAACAATGAAGGACAGCGTAGCGCATCACCAACGAACATCGTGGAATGATAAGACCAGGGGCAACGACAACCACTGTTGCCAACAAGGGGTCAAGTCTGAGCGTGACACTGCCCAGAGCCAATCATAAGCACCAAACGGAGGCCGTACTCTCGACGACCTCTGTGGAGCAAGCGCGAAGCAGTGCATCCATGTGAAACTCTACTTATAAGACCACCCGTCGGGTGATGGGGAGGTTGTGGAGTTCAGCTCTCGGTGTGCGATTGAGGTTGCATCGGATTCGGCGGAAACCAAGTGGGCACCCATGAACTCGATATGCCGATCGATGTCACAATCGATGTCCCTCGATCGATCGTTCTTACGACTTGTCGATCTCAATAGACCACACGATCTAACTCTTTATCGATTTCTCTATCGACCTAACGATCGATCTCTCAATCAACCTCACGGCACACAACGGGACAGCACTGGACACCGCGCTATGGGACACCACGGGACACAAAGGAAAACCGGCGAGACACTAGCGGGACGCCCCCGAGCCACCACCGGCCAACCTGTTGGAGCAGAGTCATTGAGCTCAGTTTCGTTCTAGGCACGGCGGGTTCATTCCTCGCCCGCCCCCGCAGCTTCGCCTGGCCCACAATCGCGAAACGAACAGGAAACTGCAAACGATTTCAGTGTGGGGGGTACCCGTTTTATTTTGGTTTGACCCCCAAACCTCCGATACATATATATATATATATATGTATATACATATATACACATCATACGTGCAATCATACAAACATATAGACATATCTATACGACCACCCTTCGGGTGATAAGGAGGTTCGGGGGGGAAGGAACTAACCTCTCACTCGATCGATCTCACCATCGATCTCACTATCGGTCTCGCTCGATCGATCTCACTCGATCGATCTTACAATCGATCTCACTCGATCTATTTCATTCGATCGATCCCACAATCGATCTGACTATCGATCTCACAATCGATCTGACAATCGAGCCCACTATCGATCTCACATTCGGTCTCACGATCGATCTCACTATCGATACCATAATCGATCTCACAACCAACGTCACCATCATCATCATCAACATCATCAGCAAGATCATCAACATCATCATCATCATCATCACCATCGGGACACCATCATCATCATCATCATCATCCCACCACCATCATCATCAACATCATCATCGGGACACCATCATCGCCAGCATCATCATCAACAACATCATCCTCATCGGGACACCATCATCATCAGCATCGGAACACCATCATCATCATCATCATCATCATCATCATCATTATCATCATCATCATCATCATCATCATCATCATCATCATCATCATCATCATCTCATCATCACCATCATGACCAACAACTTCATCATCATCATCATCGGGACACCATCATCATCAACATCATCACCATCAGCATCATCTGGACACCATCATCATCGTCACCATCATTAGCATCGCCATCCCCACCATCATCGGAACACCATCATCATCAACATCAGCATCATCAACATCGGGCCACCATCATACAAATCATCATCACCTCATCATCATCCTCGGCATCACCATCATCGGGGCACCATCATCGTCATCATCATCAACATCATCATCATCGGGACACCATCATCATCACCATCATCATCAACAGCAGCATCATCATCAACCTCATCATCAAAATCATCATCGGGACACCGTCGTCACCAGCTTCAATCTCATCATCCGCATCATCACCATCATCTCATCATATCATCATCAACATCAGGATCATCAACATCATCATCACCATCGGGATGCCACCATCATCACCAGCAACATCAGCATCATCATCATCGGGACACCATCATCATCACCACCATGGCCATCATCATCACCATCATCATCAGCATCGTCAACATCATCATCATCATCATCATCATCATCATCACCAGTATCATCGGGACACCATCATCACAACCATCACCATCCTCATCATCAACATCATCGACGTCATCATCATCATTATCATCATCATAATCATAATCATCATCATCATCATCATCATCATCATCATCATCATCATCATCATCATCATCGGGACACCGAGGGGACACCGGCGGGACACCGCGCGCCACCGGACGCCAGAAGGGAGACATTTGGTCTGGCCGCGTCTCAGCCACAGGAGACTTCCTTCTCGCCCGCCCACGCAGCTTCGCCTCGCCCGCACGCACGGCACGCACGAACACGAAACCGAAATCGATTTCCCGGTAGGGGGGCTCTCCGTTCGACTTCGATCTCACCCCCGCACCTCCGACAAATACATATATACACATGTGTATATATATACAAATATACACACACCTACATACACGTTTATCTACATACTTAGTTTCGGATTTGTATGCGAATGCAAGTGCAGCACACACACACAAACGTGTGCATATTTTCACATATATATATATACACATATATGAAGGGCTGCTATCCTCTCGGCCCCTTTCCCGGAGACCCGGCGGCTCGGCAAAAAAACGCGACGGCTGTTTCTCCCCATTTCTGGTCCTCGGGAGGCCGCTCCGCGCCCCTGGGGCCATAACAGCAACGTAGAAATGAAAATGGCCCCTGCGGACGGGTCCAGAGGTCCCGGGGCCCATGTCTCCGCACAGTCGCCCCGCCCGATCTCTGGGCTCCCCTGCGGCGACACACGGTGCGGCGCAGCCTTGCCAACGCCCGTCAAGCGAAATCTCAAGTCCTAGGGTGTCCACGGCCAGCCGTGGCGTCTCCCGAAGTATCCGAGCGTGGATGTTGCGGACCTGAGCTCGGGAGGAGGAGGTGGCGGAGGGCGGGGCTGACCTGAGTGGTTCGTGGGAACGGCACGGCCAATTCTCTGTTGTTCGTTAGGAGGTTCTTTTGTCGATTTCGGAGCTATCTTTTTTCCGGTTCCGCTGCCGTTGTTTTTGTCGTTCTGCCTCCAGCATTGGTTCCAATCCCAGGGCCGTTGTTTGTCTTGCTTCGGCGAGCTGGCTCTGTTCGACGTTTTCATTCTCAAGAGCAAGACTTCTGGAAACAATCACCGCCCCAAGAAACAGGAAAGGCCTAACGGAATCGGTTGAAACGCCCTTGCGTTCAAGCACCATTGAATTCGGACAAAAACGGACAAGCATACGCGGCGTGAGAGAGTGGAAGAAGTAGATCAATGGACTTGAGCAGGGACCGACCGTCCTGGCATTCCTATAATCCTACCACGAAATGTTCTTAGAACCCCAAAATGCTCTCATAACAAAACAATGTCCTTAGAACATACACCCGATGTGTTAAAACAAAACAATATCAACAAGAAATGTTCTAACATTTCATGGAAACCACAAAAGGTTATTAGAACATTGATTGGTAGGGCTGTAGGCCAGCTAGGACGCTTCGCCACTGCTTGATGGACAGAGAGATAAGGGATGACCACGTCGGACGAACACAACATAAAAAAGCATGCCGGCTGGAGATCGGGTGGACAGAGGAACCGAACCACAAAAGTAGAGAAAGGGAAGAGGAACCGCACAACTCAGTGGAGAAGAAGATAAAAACACAAAATAGGGAAACGAACTCTATACACCGACGCATTTTCCGACCCTGCGCTGAAATTCGTACAAGAACCCGGATCCTGGTGTATACGGGGTCCTGGTGTATACATGTTCCGTTGTTTCCCTTGGAAAACGGGGGAAAAGTATACACCACACCACCCCGACGTCGTCCCCAACTCTCAAAAAGTCATGGGATTGAAGAGACAACCCGCCACTGGTAATGTACATGTTCCAGTTTCCGACAAAAGAGCAAACAAGGTTACCATCACAAGCTGGCCGTCCACCCCATGTCGTCCCGCCCCTCTCTCTCCGACCTTGGAAACACTGGATCCATGAATGTTGACGTCTCACGTTCCCTTCCGATACCTTCCACTGTCTTCCGCCGGCCTTCCGCAGGCGTGGCCGATTGACATCCGCCAGCTTCCGCCGAGGGAGAGCTCAGGCCGTCTGATGGCCCTGGAATCCCGAGATGAGAGGCTGGCCTTGGGGACGGGCTCCAGAATTCGGGATGCCCGTCTCTCGAAAAATCGCACCGCTGGATCTCTGGGGAGAGGCACTGGACAAAGAGCGACCAACATGTTCATCGTCTGTCGCCCCATCAACCCCCGCCTGGATCGAGGCCACACCGACAACAGCGGTCTTGTTACGGTTGGCGTCCAGAAGTAACTCATTCGACCCCGCTAAACCACACCGACACTCCGGAGAAGCTGTGTGACAGACTCATGCCTCGCCGCATGCTCCATCGGTGAGATCGGGACCACCACGTTTTTAAGCTCTGGGTGGGGGGGCACAGATCGGTGAGCCGTGCCCGATCCCAGAAGGGGGCGCCATCAAGAAGCTGTGAGCCCAGCAATCCGCGGGGAAGAGCGGGCTGCATCGTTCGCCGTCGCGACGTTGCGCGGCTGGAGCACGGCGCCACAGGCCGGGATTCCCCCTTCTGGCACACGCAGCTCTCTCTCTGCCCCAGCGTCTGTCGGACCTGCCATGTGTGTGAAATCCCCACGTGTCTACAGACAGCTTGCTGAGGAGCACGCCTTCTGGCCAACAGATATACCGCTCTCTCTGGCAGGAACCAAGCGAACGCATTATTGGTCCTGGTCCTGAGAAAGATCAACACATTCGTGCCCAAGGATCTCCCTGCAAAGCGCTTCCAGAGTGGCCCATCCCAGGCTGGCCGCGAGGGCCGCTGTAGGCGCGGGCCAGCGCAGCCAGTGGAGACTTCTCGGCCAGCTCGCAGAAGGGCTCAAGCAGGCGCTGTAGTGCCTCCCCCTGCTGCTGTTGCATCGACCCCCTACCGCAGGGATCGCCCTAAACTGTACTTTTCGTTTTCGTTTCGTTGTCGTT